AGGATGAATAAAGTTTGTGTTGGCTTAGAAAGGAGGAAATGATTTGGAGCAAAAGGATGAATTATATTGGTCCTTAAAAGGGAGGTCAATTACCCCCAATTTCCTTAATAAGACTCCTATAGTGCAAGAATTAAAACCAAGAACAATAAATGGGATGGATTCAAACTAAAAAGATTCTTCTCAGCAAAAGAAACAATCAGTGAGGTGAATGGAGAGCCTACAGAATGGGAGCGAATTTTTACCACACCCACATCAGATAGAGCACTCATTAATAGGATATATAAAGCACTCAAAAATCTTAACACCAAAAAAACCCAAATAACCCAATAAATAAATAGGCCAAGTACATGTATGAAGACATGAGTGGTGTGAATCTACTTTGTGTACAACCAGAGACATGAAAAATGTGCTCTATATGTGTAATATAAATTGAATTGAATTCTGCCCTCATATATAACAAATTAGAATAAATAAATTAAATAATTTTTTTAAAAAAGGGAGGCCAATGAGTTGGGACTAAATATGGCAACCAAAAGGGAATCACTGAGACTTTTGAGCAGAAGAGGTTCCAGGGCCTAGACTTCAGCCTAGTCTGGAGGTTGGAACACACTGTGTTGGAGCCAGGAGTGAATGACCAGGGAAATTATAAAAAGGCTATTTTCATATCTATTTTTTTCCTTCTTGGTCTTTTCCCTCTTTCCTCCATGGTTCTCATGTCTGATGCTTCAATATTGGTCCCCTTTGCTATTACATTTCCCACCTTCATTTTTTGGATGTTTCCCTCCTAAATGTATAAACACATCTGACTTTTCATTTGTGAAAGAACAACATTTCCTCAACTCTTAGCCACCTTCAAGTTATTATTGTATCTTTAATAATTTCCTTTCATGGCAGTTCCATACAGAGTGGAACATACTTTCCATCTATACTTCTTTGTCATTTGTTCCTTTGTCAGCCTATAATTATCAGATTTCCGGCATCAGTTCTTCAATATTCTATTTGAAAAAAAAAATTTAAGCTCTCAGTTTGAGAATAAAACCTGATTTTTTTTCAAGAGGATTTGATATATGTGTAATATGAATTGTAATGCATTCTGCTGTCATATACAACAACTTAAAAAAAAAAGAGGATTTGAATTATAGTGCACCCTGGCTCCATGATACCACCAGAGAGAGCAGCCAGCCCAGGATCCACTCAAGATGGCCAATAACATGGCCAACAGCTTTGTCCCCTTCTCCCAAGTAGGTTCCTGTCTCTTCCAGGCCCACATTACACCTGGCTGCAACAATGAATATGATCCTAACTAAATATTCTGCACTACAACTTTGTGTTTTCAGCTTTCTCTAGGCTACTTCCAGAAGTACTGTGAACCTGATCTCTGCTTACATGGTTCACCTTGGCCACCATCTGAAGTCCAATCCTCCAAAACCATCTATTTTCACATGGTCACTCATCTCTATACTGCTGTACATATTTTACCCTGACTCCATCTTTTATTCCATTCTCCAACTTCTCAAGCTTTCTACTTAGTGTTTCTTCTGGACTCAAAATCTGTCATCAGAAAGATTACCATCCTCTACTTCTTTGAAGTTTCTCTTAATTTTCTTGTTCTAACGGACACTTGGCTGCTCCCTCTGGTCTCTGTTCCTTTGCAGTCATCCCTAAGCAAGAGTTATTTTTCTTCTCATGGAATAGAATAGATATACAACTTATTACCTCTTGATGCTTCCAAATTGTTTCTTTCCCCTCTTCTTTAAAAAGCTACATTTCCTTAGAAGAGCATATCATAAGTCCATTCATTATAACCGTACTTGGCACCTTCTAACTTTCCTGTAACTCCTCTTTCACTCAAGATTTTAACACCTGTATTATTGTCTTTATTTCTTCCCTATTTCTGCTATTGTGTGTGAGAAGTTCAACATAACACTGTAATGTAGGTCTCCATTGTGGCCTCTTATTGTTTACATGAGCACTCTTGCTAATGTCATCTTCTCTCAGACTTTATTTACTATTGATGGGCTGATGACTTCCATACCCGTTTCTGAACTTTAGACATCTCTTCTGAACTCCAGACCCATGTATCCAATTGGTGATTTCTACAAGGATGTTTCATGGAATTTCAAACTCAAAACCTTAACTCATTATTTTCTCACAGTCCTATTTCTTTTTCTGTTTTAAAAATATTGTTGTATAGAATTAATATCTACTCATTAACCCAAGCCAGAATTTTGAGGGCATTCCAGATTCCTCTGAACCTCTTAGTAGCCACATACTTCCAATTACCTCCTCCCTAAACTGCACCTGTTATTCATAAGTCCAGAGCTTCTCTGATTTAATCTCTACAGAGAGTAAAATTTGTAGTTAAAAGTGCAAGTTCTAGTGTAAGTACGCTAGGGTTCACACCCATAACTTTGTAGTTGTTGACAAGTTTCTTAAGATTTTTGTATCTTAATTTTCTCATCTGTAAAATGGGTATATGACAATATTGCTTACTTCATAAAATTGTTGAGAGAATCCAATGAGTTATGTAAGATGCCTGGAACATAGTTAAATACTCAATAACTTTCAGTGATATTGATGACATAAACAATAATGATGTCTGAATGATGTAAGAAGGGATAACCACCTGACTCATAAATTTAGGAAAGAGATTTGGAGGTTATCAACAGTTTCTAAACTAGACTTTCAACCAGTCCTTCTTTTCTCAAGCCCACTCTATGCCCCTGACTTTGAAGGAATGCAGTGTCTCCAGTTTTGAAAAAATTCTATTTTTTTAATATTTATTTTTTAGTTTTAAGTGGACACAATATCTTTATTTTACTTTTATGTGGTGCTGAGGCTCGAACCCAATGCCTCACGCATGTCAGGTGAGCACGCTACAACTTGAGCCACATCCACAGCCCAAGACTTTCTAAGTTTTTAGGGGCAAATTAGTGTGCTTCTCACAAGCTTTTCTTCTGTGGCCACTTTTTTATCCTCTACACCTGCAATATCCAATATGGTGGCCAATGAATCACACATGGCTACTGTGCCATTGAAATGTGACAGTGTTACATATTTTGAAATACTATTTTAGATCCATTGGTTTAAATTCAACTATGTTAAAATGAATTTTGCCTGTTAATTTTTACTTTTTTTTAAATGTGGCTACTAGAAATTTTTTTAATTGATTTTTATTATTTTTTAAAATACACGACAACAGTGGAATGCATTACAATCCTTATTACACATATAGAGCACAATTTTCGTATCTCTGTATATAAAGTATGTTCATGTAAATTTATGCCAATATACATGTACTTTTTGCATTATAATTCTTAATACACATATATACCACAATATTTCATATCTCTATATAAGGTATGTTGACAATTCAAGTTTTCAACATGTTCTTTGTATGATGACCATCACATTCCACCATCCTTGCTAATCCCCTTCCCCCTCCCTTTCCTCCCACCCCTCTTCCCTATCTAGAATTAATCTAATCCTCCCATGCTCTCCCTCCCTAACCAACTATGAGTCACTCCCCTTATATCAGAGAAAACATTTGGCATTTGTTTTTTGGGGGGATTGACTGACTTCACTTAGCATTATCTTCTCCAATACCATCCATATATCTACAAATGCCATGATTTTGTTATTTTTTAATGCCGAGTAATATTCCATTGTGTATAAATGCCACATAATTACATGTTTCTAACATAATTACTATGTTTCTATTATACAGTCTTGCTGTGCATTTTACACAATTTTGACAATTCTCATCAGCTGTCATGTTTTCTATCATTATCTTGTGGTTATACACTATGTCTTTACTTTTCACTTTTGAGAAGTGTCTTGGGCAAGCGAAGATAAATTCAAGTGTCAGATCTGACATGGTTAACTGGAAATTCTAGCTAAGCTTTTTAGAACATAGTTCCTACTTAAGTGTTTTCACTCTGTGTCCTGTCACCGACTATATGGCCCAGCCAAAATAAATTACTGATGATTTCCTGAACAAAATAGGAATCTTGGAGCTTTCATATATTAGCTTTGAGTCATTTTCTTTCAATACCCTTCTAATTCCTCTCACCTGTCTATTAAATAACTAAAAATTTCACCATTTTTAAGAGATTTTCTTGACCTGTCCTCCTTCCAGTTGAGCTGACTGCCCCAGAGTCCAGAATATTTCCTGAATTTTCTGGTTTAGATATCTATCTCTTCCACAAGGGAACCCATTTTATTCATCAGTAGTGCCAGATTCAGGGTTTGATTCATAATTAAACACTAAAAGACTGTTAAACAAATGAATAAAGACAATAAGAAATAAGGAAGGTTTTGTAGTGAATGAAGAGGATGACTGGAAAAGTTTCATGAAATTAGTTGTTTTAATTTGTTTCTTCAGAGGTTTCTGACAGGTAGGGATGACATGAGGAATTTTCTAGGCAGAAGCAAGAGCATAAGCAAAGGTTCTCTGGAAATAAAAAATATGCTAAGTAGCAAATCACCCAGTTTGGATGGAGCATTGATAAAACAGGATCACGCAGGGCCTTGAGGTCATAAGACATTTAACTGTAGTTCTTAAGATATTGGAGAGTTATTGAAAAATTTTAAGCTGGGGAGAGAGATAATTAGTTCTTTATTTTAGTATTATCATCTTTGGCTATAGATGGAATATGGACGCGAGGGGCCATGAGTGGAAGTTGGAAGACAGAGTTCATCACGGTAGGGAGGAAATTAGTGGTATGGTTTAGGGGTTTAGGTGACAGGTGGGCATGGGGAATAAGGGAGAAGGAGGACTTTGCAGTTAGTAAAAACGCGAGGGTGAGGGTACCCTTTAGAGTGACGGATAACCACGCGGGAGCTGCAGGTCAGGTCCGCCTTGCGCACCTTGACCCTCGCGTGACGCCGTCCGCGTAGCCCGCGGTTTGGTCGGGGACGGGCGCCGGCGCCACGGTTCCGGTTCCGGTTCCAGCTGTGACTGGAGTCTTCACCTGCGGCCACGGGGAGAGGCCACAGGGAGCCAGCCATGGCGTACTCCACAGTGCAGAGAGTGGCCCTGGCCTCGGGGCTCGTCCTGGCTGTGTCGTTGCTGCTGCCCAAGGCCTTCCTGTCTCGCGGAAAGCGGCAGGAGCCGTCGCCAGCTCCCGAAGGTAAGAACCAGCTAATTCCCAGTGAGCCGCCCGGCGAGGACCACCAGTGCTGCTTCAGCGAGGTGACGCTAGGAATCTCGGGCCTTCGCCCAGTATCTGTCAAACCCTTCAGAGAGGGTAGGGGAGACGGCGTTTGGCCGGTTCTCTGGGCCTCATCGGGCGGCAGCGCAGTTCCACCTGCCCCCGAGAACCCCCAGTGGGTCTTCCACAGGAGTGGCCAGGAATGCACACGTGCCTGGGTCCCTTCCCTGGGGCCTCGCACGCGGTAGTTTGCTTGCAGATCCTTCGTTTTTCACTCAGTGGCTTGCTCAACTCAGTTTTTCATCATCTGTTCACGAGCTTTGTTTGGGTCAGTAGGGTTTCCTTTAGGGTTTGTGTTCTTTGTCGTGCTTTTGTAGAAAATAAAGTTAGTTGGAATCGGTGGTTTTTAACGTGATGTTGAGCGCTGTTTTTGTGCTTTTAAAGATAGAACTTGATTTTAATAAATCAAGTTTCACTTCCTGAGGGGTAGATTAGCAAAATACTACATCTCCTGTACTTAAATATCTGTTAATTGTTTGTTATTGGCATGATTGTGATATTTAAAAATCTGCCTTTTTGAATGCATTTGGGGGCTCTACAGAATCAATGTAAAGGCGTATATGCTGAAGGCTGGGAGAAGGAACCAAAACAAGTCTTCTTAGGTCATAAAGTTCTGCCGGTAACTTTTTCTTGTAAATCATCCCAGTAAAATCCTTGAGACATGATTTTAAAGTCTCTGAACACTTTCTCTAATGTTTAACTTGTTGACTGCTGGACAGCTCCTTTTGAACTGTAATCCCCTTTACTCTAATTTGTGCATGTTGGCTGTAGTTCCATCTTCCCACAAGCATCATTACAAATACTGTGCGTGCATAGCACTTAGCTCCAGGAGTGAAGGGCATGGTTTTGTTAATAGAATCTTTTTGATAGTCTTCATGCTTATAAGACTGCCTAGACTAGACTTCTGAAACATCTTTTCATATTTGATATTTTTGTCTTTATTGCAAAATTCAAAAGGTTTTCTCACTGTATCCAGTAACCTTGTCTGCTTAGAAGAAGAGTAAATTCATGATGACCCTGAGCAATGAAGATTCTTCTAAAATACTTGTTTTTACTGGTTTGGATTCCCATTATGGCAAATTATCTTTTGCAGGGGGTGGGGGTACTTACTAGTGATTGAACCCAGGGGCATTCAACCACTGAGCCACATCCCCAGCCCTTTTTGTATTTAGATTCAGGGTCTCACTGAGTTGCTTAGGGCCTCGCTGAGTTGCTGAGGCTGGTTTTGAACTCATGACCCTCCTGCTTCAGCCTCCAGAGTTGCTGAAATTAAGGCATGCACCACCAGGCCTGGCTGGTGAATTATCTTGAACAAGTATTATTGCATGTGAGTGGGAAACACTCTTCTGAATATAATAGAGAGTCTAGAGTGAAAATTAGATATGGCTTCTTCCCCTAAGAACTCTAGTGCTGGTATCTTAGGAATTTGCACTTTCTGTTCTTTTTATTCCTGAAGTAAGCTCTTCCCTCAGCTTACTTCTTATCATTCAAGTTTCTGCTTAGATTTAACCTCTTTAAAGAGATCTTCCCTGATGACCCCAGATAAAGTAACTCTCTTTCCCTATTGTTTCCTATTTTATTATGCTTTTTTTTCTCCCATATAACAGATATAATATGTGAGATGAAAGTTTCTTATTTGTTTACTTGTTTTTTTTCTTCCTTCTAAAATGTAAACTTTGCAAAGGTAGAGATTTTATCTTATTCATTTACTACTAGCACCTGGCTATAGTGGGAAGTCAATAAAAACGTCTAAATGAATGTTTAAGATTGTGAAGCTACTAGTATTGTCAGTTTTCATTTTATATTAAAAACTACTAAGTAAAATAGACTAGGCAAAAAACTACCTTGAATGATACATGCTAGTACCTGAGGTTTGCTACCTAAAAATTCCTTTCCTAGTACATTAACATTTTTAAAGCAATGAATCCTAATCATTTTTGGGTTACATAAAATCTGATGAAAGCTATGTATTTTCTCTCTAGAAAAAAATGTGTACCATTTATGCATACACACAAAACTTTATCAATTCAGAGAATTCAAAGACCTGGAAGTCCTTGCTTTGAAGAAAGGGGCAGTCCCAATTATTTGGAAAGTAATAAAATTTGTTTCATTGTACTTTCATTTTTGTCTGCTGTGTGTAAAAAAAAAAAAAATACAGTCCCCTTTCCACATGATAGCCTTTAAGAATGTTTTAACAAATATTATGATGTATACTATACATAGTATACACACAATGTACATACACTGTGCATTTAAAGAAAAATGAGGCAAATCCTTACCTCAAGGAACCTAAAGTTTAGTATAAGAAAATAGACATGGCATCAATTCAAATCTACGTGAGGAAGATACATATGTGTAAGGGTCCGTTTTATTGGGTTTTAACAAAAGTCTCATAGAAGAGGAAAGGTTTTTTTTTTTTTTTTTTGTAACAGCATTCTTGAGATCTAATTCACATATTCAATTTGCCTATTTAAAGTGTATGAGTTAGTATATTCACAGAATTGTGCAACCATCACCATAATCAATTTTAGAATATTTCATCATCTCTAAAGATTTCCTATACCTTTTGGCCATAGTTCCCCAGCTTCTCTTTGCTCTGTCTCCAGCCCTGAGCAATCATTAATATACTTCCTATCTCTGTTAATTTGCCTATGATATTTTGTAACTGGCTTTTTTAACCTAACGTGTTTTTAGGGTTCCTCAATGTAGTATATATTGGTACCTTAGAATTGACAGTTCCCCCCTGTTTAACTCATAGTCATCTTCTTTGATAGAGAGCATAGAAGTGAAGAGTAAGAAGTTCTGCTTTCTCAGCAATTACATTTTATTATGGGGCAAATTGGACTTTTTCTCTGAACATCACTAAAAATACCTCTTTTACTCTTGCTAGCTTTTTTGTAAATCTTAGTTTATTTTGGACCTTGGCCTTCTCTTGTAGCTTTTCCAAGTCTTCTCACTTTTTTGTGTTGATTATGTTGATTATGTGTTTTTCTGTTCAACATTTTCTGTGCTTTTACAGGAATTATCTGTAAAAGCACAGAAAATGTGCTTTATTTCCCCCCCTTTTCCTGTTTGAAAATTTTTGAAATATCCAATCAGAAGTGTATTTTAAAAGTTTTCCTCTTAAGAGTTTCTTGCCATGGAATGTCTTGTTTTCAACACTTTCTTCTGCCTTCCCAGACCCTATTCCACACAACTCCTACCTTTGTTGCTACAAATACTAAGATGGCATGGTTTCATTCTCTTAAAGTCCTCCTTTCATTTTATCAACCATTTTTCTCAGAGTAGCAGTTCCTCTGCTTACCATATATACCTTGAGTGGAATATAAAGTATGTCAGCATGTTAAGTCAAAAACTTGTCACTTGTTCCAGGGTTAGCTGAATGAGACTTTGAATAGGTACCAGGGTAGTTGATGTCTTCCAAGATGAGAGTGTGCTGCTTTTATGTTATAGTTGGCTTCAGGAGAGTCCTATCTACCACCTGCACTGGGCTGGGAGCCTTTTGTGTTCCCATAATCACATATCTTGGCATCCCTCCTGTTCATGTTTTCCTGTGAGCGCCTCACTTTGAACACTTAAGAGTTCCTTTTCTATCACTTTCCAGTGGCCTTGTTCTCCTGGAATAGCTCATACTCTTTTGTCACTATGTTCTTATCAAGTGAATCCTATGTTACTGAGTTTTGATCTCTCTGAGCTATGGAAATACAAAGGCACACTTATGTATATGTGTTCATACATATATAATAACACATATACATAATTCTTTGTTGTCTTAAATTAACTCCCTATATATTAGCCAATAAGTGCCTGAGAACAAATTATTTTTTTTTTCAAATGTATTATTTTGGTGCCTTAACGTTTCTTTTTTCCTAGTGAAACATCAGATCTACTCTAAAGGAATGTTCAAAGGAGAAAGAGATTAGAAAATTATTTTGATTTCAAAAGATCATTTTCCTCTTAATATATTATGTAAATGAAGAGAAAACAGTGGGAGTAGTTTGAGAACTTGTAAATACATTAAATTAGGCATTTTTTTTCAAGAGAATAGTAATGATCAGTAATCCCCATTGCCATTTTCTTTTCTAGAAATTGCAAAATTGAAAACTGGCAGCATAATGAGGTCAAACAAACAACAACAAAACAACTATTTTTTAGCCCTTCAAGTGACTAGGCTGGATCTTGAGGCAACAGTATAATTTATCCAGTCCAGTTCAACAAATTCAACATGCAAGACCCAAAGTATGCTCTGTGGGAGAAACCCAAACATAATTAAAACACTAAACTTTTATTCAATAAGTTCTTAGTTCATTTTGTCCTCTGACTAGAGACTACCAGGAACATACCTAGTTGAACATTTTGGGTTTAGTATTTGTTGCAGTAAGGGAAAATGCAAACCATTGAGAATCAGAGGGCATTTCAGTAAGACAGTTTTAGGAAAAACCTTACAAGATTTAGGCTTGTTAGGTGAGTTTGAGAAAGATTGGGGCTTTGCTCTAAATTGGATGAAGTGGGCCAAATTCTGTGACTGGGTATCTTTTTAAGTGTTTTTTATTAGTGCATTATAGTTTTACGTAACAGTTGAATTCATTTTGACATAATCATACATGCATGGTACCTCTTCTTTCTCCCCCCTCCTCCATTCCCCTGTTTTCCTTCTTCTACCTGGGGAGATGGGAAAGAAAAGAGGAGAAAATGTGGAATAAATTTGACAAAATTATACTACATGCATGTAAAAATATACTGCAGTGAATTTCATCTTTGTGTGTTTTTATAAAGCACCAATTAAAAATAAATAAATAGAAGGAAGACCAATAGAGTAGAGGATGAGTATCTTAATAGGATTTGTCTTAAGGGAGGACAGACTAGAAAAAGGCTAAAGCTATAATTGAAGAAGTGACAGTCACTTATTTAGCACTAGG